AAATTGGAGGGCGGCACTCAGAACAAATGTGGAGCCCAGGAAAGGAGAATGGGATTAGGAGCCAGTGGGAATGTGGGTAGGGGGTACATGTGAGACTTAGAGTGAGGAAAGAAAGACAGATCACATGTGGGGCCAAAAGAGTGGAATGGAAACTAGGACTGCGAGTATGAGAGTAAGAATTGGATGAGAAGCCTGAGGAACAGAGTTTGGGACTGGCTAGGTGATGAGAATGATCCTGGGCCAAGGAGCCCAGGGGATAGGAAGAGACAGGACTGAAACAGCAAGAGTTTAGAGGGGATGTCGCAGAAAGAGATCAGAGTCTGTGCCCACTGGGGAACATTCCTGTCCAGAACCTGAAATGGAGTCCAAGACCCCACTGCTGTCAGCATATAACTATGAAATCCACCAGCTAACTCTCCCTCTTTCTACTGCTGCTCCACATATATGGCAACTTATTATAGCTATCAGTTACTCCTTAGCTCAACTGGCAGAGATGTATGTGGTGAATCTAAAAGTTCCATCCCTGCTGACCACCAATGTGGGTGTTGATATGATGTCCAATTATTAGATTTTTTTCCTCTTTTTTTTAAAGTAATAAATTACACGCAAAAACTACATTAAAAGATTAAGCTTGCAAAATCAAGGCTAAATTAAAAATGCCAGTAATTAAGGTTGTGTGTGAAACCTTAATTAAGACTCCTTGTTCACATGCATTCTGAGAGCCTTTCATTACATGATCACATACCATTTTTTCCAAAGGATTTCTTCCTCATTCAGTGCACAGGATGGGCCTGTTCTGGAAATGAAGCTGGGCTGTGAAGTGAAGGAGACTGCCATGACAGGCATTCCACAGACGTTTGTTGTAAAAGCAGGAAAGTATGTAAGGAAGAGAAAGGGCCATCTCATGATTAAGACCCTAGAGAAATGGAACCTATCCCTGCCTCAGAGTTCCTACATGATGCCAGTAAAATAAACTGTACTTTACACAGACGATTACTAGTTGTGTGTTCTTCATTTTTTGGGTGACGAACTTAAGACCCTGCAGTCTGATCTGCAGAAGTGCTGAGCACTCAGAACTACAACTGAAGTTAATGGAAGTTCTGCTTTGAATATATGAAGTGCTGTGTAATTAGGCTTAGCAGAATTTTTTTAATAGTTTTAATGGATACATCAGTGTTTATTTTAAGCAGCTTTTTCAATGTTTATTTCCATTTTCACAGTAGAAAAATTTGTATTAGCTTTTTTCACAAGTGCAGTACATATCTGAATCATAGTCAATTTGTGATCCACTATAAACCCAGATCTTTTTCAGCAGTGTTGCTGCCTAGCTAGTTATTCTTCATTTTGTAATTGTGCATTTCAGTTTTTCTTCAGTGTAACACTTTGTACTTGTCTTTACAGAATTTCATTTTGTTGATTTCAGACCAGCTCTAAATTTTCAAAGTGCTTCAAAGTGCTAGCTTGATGTCATCTACAAATTTTATAAGCACACTCTCTTATTATCTAAGGACACTTCCATTATCTAAGTCACTGATAAAAATATTGAACAGTACCACACTCAGGACTGACCCCAGTAGTACACCATTAGATTTGCTCTTACAGTTTGACAGCAAATCACTGATAACTTTGAATATGGTCTGTCGTGGCTGATTCCCCACTCTGACACAATGAATGCAGAAGTAGGGGCCCACAAAAGTACCCCAAAACCTTGTTTCTCCAGACTTTGGTATAAAACTTCCCCCCACAATCCTAAAAACCTAGATTTTGGGGATAAAAATCCGCTGCCACCATCATGTGCTTTTGAACCCGTGAACAGGGGTGGCTACTTGAAACCAACCCCAGGGTACCCCAAGCTCTTTTCCCCAAAGAGCTTGAAAAAGAAAAGAGAAAATACAAATTGCAGTCTCTGGTAGCTGCCCTCTAGTCGGAGGCATGCAAATCCCACAGACAGATTTTCCAGGACACAGAACTGAACCAATACCAGATGAATAAAAAAGAAAAAACTTTTATCATCAAAAGTCACCAATTAATATATTTATGGGGACTCCCATGGGCCCAAAACTTAGTTTCAAAAGAGGGGAAACCCATTTCTAAATGCACAAACATCAGATTCCCATTCCCAAACCATAAAACAATAAAACCTAATGGATTTATCTAGACTTTGCCCTACTTACAGATGGCGAAGAGTCTTTTCTTGGAGAGGGACATGTTGTCTGTCCCCCTCAGTATCTGAGAGTCAACTGCCAGGGACAAAGGAGAGAAAACCAAAAATTCCTTTGTTCCAGTTTGAAATTCCTACCTGCAGTTCTATTGGCTCACCACTACCTGGCTAGGTACAGTTAACCCCTTAGTCCCCAGGCTGTTGGCCATCCCTCATAACCATGACATGGTCTTTGAACTAATTTTGCATCCACCTTAAAAGAGCTTAATCTATATCTCATTTCCTTAGTTTACTTATGAGAATGTCATGTATTAGAAGCATTACTAAAAATCAAGATTTCTACTGCTTCTACCCATCCACTTTTCACTTCCATCTTTCTGTGCCTCATTCCCTACTTGTAAAATGGGGATATTACCACCCTCTTCCATCAGAGTGGTATTGTGAAAACTAATAAAATAATATTTGAGAGTGCCATAGAAAATTTCATGCATGTCACTGGGTGACTAGACCCAGAGGTCCTCTGTTGACAATCTAAGGATCCTGACACACCTCATCCCAGAGAGGAGCAGAAGAGATGTCCTCTCAGTAGTCTGGAGTGGCTGGACGAGTATCCAAACAGGGGCCAGGAGGGCCATATAAAAAGGAGCTGCAGAGACAGACAGTGAGTGGCTGCAGGAGCTGGTAAAGAGAGGACCAATCATATTTCTGGCTGGCTAAAAGAGAAGCAGGACCATGGACAGCTCAATGCAGTCTTAGATGTAAAATCGCATTTAATTAGTTAACTAGTTAACATTAAGTTTAACTGGTTAACTGATTAAAACTCCAGCCTGGCTGAGCTGGAGCGTCTATCCCACCCGTAACAGCCCGGCTGGAGTGGCCCTCTCACTGAGAGTAGGGGCACCCTCCACTGGTTAACCATTCACATATCTAGTATAAGCAGGGACTAGGGAGATAAAAAGAGGCTCTTGGATGGCTGCAGGGGATTGAGCAAGGACTGAGCCCATGGAGAGCTGCAGGAGAGGAAGCCCTGGGAGTATGGCCCATACCAGGGCCAAGAGAAGGTAAAGACAGTATACCCTGGAAGGGATTTATTATGTTCCACCTACTGTGTTTGTTATGTTCCACCCACTGCCACAGGGCTTAGTCACGGACAACTCACAGATGAAACCATCTACCAAGGGTGGGAGCACTCATGAGAGCTTCAGACAGACTTCAGGGCACGCACTTGATCAGAGGGCTGCTCATCAGAAGTGAGTGCTGATCCCATTACAAGAAATTAATTATTTTCAAGGCTTGAGTACTGTACTGTAAATATGAAACAGGTAACACATTGAACAATGAGGAGAAAACAAAATATTGAATAGCTGCTCATTAAGTAACTATTATCCACTCTGTGGACTGAATGAGGGAGAGGTGCTACAGAAAAAAAGAATGTGGTCATGGAACTAAACATGGTATTCTAATACATATACACACACACAAGGCTGAATTAAGGTGACACATGCAACAAGTAATTTTAAATTGTGGCATTTGCTAAACTTGTATGTGCTTGATTCTGGAATCTTATTAATGTTCTTTACACATTAATGTGTGTGCAAAAGATTTATAAAGTTTTTTTCAGCCTTTAATGAGCTTCAACTGCACAGTGTCATATCCCCAAGGCCTTTGAGTAGCTATGCTTACACATTTTGAGTGTGGGTTGTAGGTGTGGGGTTTTTTTTGGTGGGGGGGGGGTTAGAGAGAGTTTGAAAAGTTAATTGTGGCAAGTCCAGTGCCTTTACTAGTGTTGAAACTAGATTTATTATTTATTGTATGGTAAAATATCACATTTAGCTACCCCTAAAAAGCATAGCCCAGTTAATCAATAAATCTGCCATCAAGCAAGCAAGATCTTGTGAACATTTTCTCCATCTTATTCAAAATCAATTTCAATAAGCTCTCCCATGAACTCATTAACCTTGATCAAACAGGGAGAAGATACTTAAGTTGAATAATGGGATCTGAAAGGATGGTCCGAATAGATACAGGTTCCATTAATAAATTGACATTACAGAAAGCCCTGCCACTTTTCAATGTTCTATTTGGTTTCCTACACATTAATTTACATACTGGCATGTGTTGTTATTGTTTAATGTAAGATGTAATAATTCTTTGAAGTAAATTACTTTTTAAAAATCAAGTGAGAAGTTACTGAAGGGTACAATGGAACTATGTGAAGAACTGTCATAAATGTAAACAATATGAGAACCAATCAATAAGGTCTTGATCTTCAAAGAAATGCATCTGCTGCACAGCAAAACATTTACAATGCAACCTAGAAAAGAACTATTACTAGGTGAGTTGTAGAAGATTGCAGTTAACTAATTATTACTGTAACAAAACAGTTACAGTAATAGGTACGGTTTGTAACGTCCTCAAAGCCAAATACTCAGTGTTACTATGACATTAAAAAGAGCGCACTGAAGATGTACAGATTGTTATAATATAAATATGAGAAACATATGCACATTGATACTTCACTAGAGCTCTAGTCCAGTTAAATGGACATATGACTCCAGGCAAGCTCACCTGAGTAGCTGAAGACTGACAGGAAGAAGAGGAAGATGATGAAACAACAGGAATGTCCGACTGAACAGCAGCCACAGTGGTAGCAGGAGTAAAAATCAGCTATGAAGACAGAAAAAGAAAACTGAAGAAAACACAATTTACAGAAAAAAGAAAGTAGTCAGGTAACAGTAAAACCTTGATTGACATTTATGAAAGAATGAAAATACTTTACAGATAAGAAGGAAAATGCGGCACACTTAGGGATGCATTAATTCTAGTTTACATTTCTGTTGCCTTTAACACAACTTTATTTATTTTTAAAGTAAATATTTAGTATGGGATCTCAGATATACAAGTGTAAGTAATTTATATTTTTTAAAAGTATTCTGCTTATATACTTTTTCACTTATATACTGTCTTCTATCCAAGTGTTTCAAAAGAAGCTTAGTTAATCTCACTCCCTTTTTAGAGAGGGCGGGTGAACAGAGATTTAAAAAAAGTCAAGCAACCATGTAGAATAGCGATAGAAATGTAGCCGTGTTAGTCTGGTGTCGAATTTTAGCATGAATGACAGTTCAGAGGATTCCCTTTCAAGTGCAGATTTGAAAGTCTTCTGGAGTAGGATGCATGTGATTAGGTCATTGAGACAATGTCCTTTCTGGTTGAAATGGCAAGAAACTGTTTTTTCTTTGTGATCCTGTCTAATATCTGTTTTGTGGGCATTGATCCTTTGGCAAAGTGTCTGAGACGTTTGTCTAATGTACATAGCAGACAGACACTTTCGGCACATGATAGCATAAATTATATTTCTGGATGCGCAGGAATACGTATTCTTGATCTTATAACTCACTTGGTTAGGTCCAATAATGGTATCAGCAGAGTGAATATGTGGACAAAGCTGGCAACGGGGTTTGTTGCAAGGGAAGGTACCGGAGTTGATATTAGCGTGGTATGTCCTGTGGTTGTTGGTAAGGATCATCTTGAGGTTAGGTGGTTGTCTATAGGAGACTATGGGTCTGTCTCCCAGAGCTTCTTGGAGTTTAGTATCCTGTTCCAGTATAGGCTGTAATTTATTGATAATGTGTTGGACAGGTTTAAGCTGGGGGTTGTAGGTGATGACAAGTGGGCTGTGTCTACATTGGCACCCCTTTCCGGAAAAGGGATGCTAATGTAGACTTTGGAATAGGCAAATCCGCGGGGGATTTAAATATCCCCCCTACGGCATTTGCATTAACATGGCTGCCGCTTTTTTCCGGCTTGGGGAAAAGCTGGAGAAAAGGGCCAGTCTAGACGTTATTCTCCGGAAAATAAAGCCTTTTCCGGAGGATTTCTTATTCCTACTTGAAAGACATTGTCTCAACGACCTAATCACATGCATCCTACTCCAGAAGACTTTCAAATCTGCACTTGAAAGGGAATCCTCTGAACTGTCATTCATGCTAAAATTCGACACTCTCCGCGGGGGGCTGAACAAAGACCACAACTACCTTACCCATTACAAAGATAGCTTCCCCAATTATCACCTCTAATACTATTAGCTCACAGACATCTCCCTTTCCCCACCTCTAATATCATTAACTTGCAGACATTTATTTTCCTTTCCCTCCCCCCCGCATCTCCCTTCTGTTCTGAAATGTGATTTGTCCTTTTCATATGTGTTCATTTTTTTAATTGTATCCTTTGGTATATATGGTTGTGACTATTTTCTTCCACTATTTGATCTGAGGAAGTGGGTCTGGCCCACGAAAGCTCATCATCTAATAAACCATCTTGTTCGTCTTTAAAGTGCTACATAGTCCTGTATTTTGTTCAAGCAACCAGTGTGAGATAACAGTATGGAATTAAGTAGCAAGAGAACCTGAAATATCTTGACATTTCATAATCTGCTCAGATAACTGGAATACACTGCCTAAAAATTAATCTTCAAAATTAGAGAATATCATATTTATAGCGTAACACAAATAAATGACATTTTCCTTTTTCTAGTATGCAAATTAAGTGTTTGTGAAAGCTGAAAAAACATCAAACCTAAAGATTGAAATCCTCTGTTCATTAAAAGTACAACTACTATAATTGACAAAGTTTGTCTAGCTGTCCATTTATGTGTTTGTTCAAGAGCTCCTCCAGAATGGTAAAACAATCACATTCAGTATACAGCTTCCTCTTATCATAACTTAAAGCAAGGTAAGGGATTGGTTGTGCCAGGAAAACAGGATGTGCCTGGAATAGGACTGCTTTTCATAAAATCATGCAGAAAAGACAGAATCACCAGGCAGGCGAAAAGGGTTGGTAGGGGTGCTTTTCCCCTTCCAGGACTGCAAAGCCTGAAGCCTCCCAACCCCAAGCACCCATTAAGGAGGGGGGAGGGAGGGAGTGGAGAGGAATGAAGCTCCCCTCCTCCTGAATTCATAAGGGGACTTTGCTGGCTGTTCCCCGTTCTCAGGGAATGAGGGGGAAAGCACACAATTTGCTGCATTCCTCACTGTACTTGGGGAGCACGGGGGAAGACAAATCTGGACTGTACCCTTCCCTTGGCTGTGCTTGTAGGAGCTGCAGCAGCCATGGAAAAGTGCTTCTCACTTGGCCCCAAGCTGCTGAGGTGAGAAGGGGAGAGAGAACTAGCCCAGTCCTGAGGCAGCCTACATACTGAACCCCTCATTCCCAGCCCCATTCCAGAGCAATGATTTAAATGAAACATGGACATTTTACTTTCCAAAAACCAAAAATTAACTGAGTTAAGGACCCGAGCAATACCAGGTAAATCTTGTAGTATACTATACAGTCAACACCACTGTTAGCTTTCCCACAGAATGCCATCAATGTGTCTCAGTTATGACCTGCAAGGACTTCCTCCAGGGACAGTTTAGACGGTACATTAAGTCCTCTCTATTTCCAGGTGCTGAGACTGCAAATTAGTTCCAATACTAGTGGGCCTTTGTTTGGTATACAGGCAGTCCTGAGTTACGCGGATCTGACTTACGTCGGATCCGCACTTACGAACGGGGCTTTCTCGCCCCAGAGCTTGCAGGCAGCAGGACCGCCCAGAGCGCAGCGGTCCCGCCACCTCGACCTTTGGGGTGAGAAAAGCTGCTCTGGGTGCCCCTGGTCTGCTGGGGACCGTCTCCAGCAGACCAGGGACACCTGGAGCAAAGCCGGGGAGGCGGAGGGGTCCCAGAGCAAAGCCTCAGAGGCACGGCACCCCGCTGCGGCTTTGCTCCCCGTGTCCCTGGTCTGCTGGGGGGGGGCGCAGCTAGTGCACACCCCCTCCAGCAGACCAGGCTTTTGTTGTGGACCCTGGGGTAGAGTAGCTGGGGTGCTGCCGGGTTGGTCCTGCAGGGACCTACCTGGCAGCCCAGCTGTTCTGTCCCAGGCTCGAGATTCAGCCGCCGTGGGCCCCTCCCTGGCAGCCCAGCTGTTCTGTCCCAGGCTCCAGATTCAGCCGCTGTTGAAACTGATCAGTGGCTGATTCCAGGAAGCTGGGGGCAGAGCAATTCTGCCTCCAGCTTCCTGTAGTCAGCCCCTGGTCAGTTTCAGCAGCAGCGGCTGAATCTGGAGCCAGTTCCGACTTACATACAAATTCAACTTAAGAACAAACCTACAGTCCCTATCTTGTATGTAACCTGGAGACTGCCTATAGTCCCTATCTTGTACGTAACCCGGGGACTGCCTGTACTGTCAACATTATTTTAAAAACATTTCAGATTATCCCATTCAGACAGAGAGAGAGAGACAGAGAGAAAATAATTTGTAGGAGTAAGACTAGATTAGACACATATTCCTCAGAAGAATTACTCTTGCAAAAAGGCAAGAAAGAATGCTTTTAAAGGAAAGGCAAAGAGGTTGAGTTTAACCACTCTTAACTAGCTGACCATATGTCTGTTAAAATGACACCATGGAACAGTTAATTCAGCAAACAAGGTTTCATAAATATAAACAATAAACATATGAGGGCCCAAATCTGAGGATAGGAGTCAGGAAAAAGTCTTCAATCCTGAGTTCTGTAACAGAGTCCTGGCTCTTGAAGGCCAAAAGAGATTATGTGAGGGACCAGTTACTCTGTTCCAGGTGTCAGGGGATGGCAGAGGAAGGCCAAAGGAAAATCAAAAACACTGGGTAGATAGTCCCAGAGAATAATTAGTATCTGAAGGGGCAGGGAGAGGAAAACCGTGGCCACTGTACATTTTAGGGCCCAAGAGCCCTGTGGAGTGGGAGAGGAAAGGCTTCCCACCCAGATGTTTAGGATAATTAGATCCACATAAGAAGGGTCAAGAGAGTGGTCAGATGATGAGGATGAGTGACTCAAAAGTAAGGCTCAAAGCCCAATCAGGGAGAGCTTGCTAAAGGAAGCTTTTAAAGGGACAGTTGCAGAAGGAAAGCTGCAAAGAGCCCTGAACTAAACAGGTGAGTTTTCAGATGATGGAGGCTAGGACTTGAACCACATAGTCCCAGAAAGGAGAATTTTGGGGCCCTGGTCCTGGAGTTGCATGAAAAGGCATCTCTTCTGAGTGTTTAATAAATCAGAATCCAAAAGAGTGAGACTGTTGTTCCCAATGACTTTGGAGAGTAAAAGGATTATTTCTAGGAACTAAAAGGAAACTGAGGCGGAGACTGCCGTGCACTATAAGTAATCCATTGATATCAAGAACTCCCATTACACAAAGAGATCTGAAGTCAATAGGGAGTGCTCAGTGCACATAGCATGTGCATAAGTAATTGCAGGAGCTGGGCCATACTTTGTATCAAAATAATAGAAATATCTATGGCCCTCAATCAGCAGTGAACACTACCTGGATGAATCTGTGCACTTGTGCAGAATCCTAATGCCTTTGGGGAGGCTTCACAAAAGGCCAGCAGTCTGCCCATGCAAAGCTAACTGCAGGACAGGAGCCTGTTTGCACACAAGGAACAGCATTAAATATTTAAAATCTCCTTAATTTACAAATGTCAGGTTTTTTTACTGTAGAATTATTCAAACTTTGAAAATTACCCTTTGTTTTAACAGAAGCAAAATGCAGGACAATGTAGCACTTTAAAGACTAACAAGATGGTTTATTAGATGATGAGCTTTCGTGGGCCAGACCCACTTCCTCAGATCAAATAGTGGAAGAAAATAGTCACAACCATATATACCAAAGGATACAATTAAAAAAAAAGTGAACACATATGAAAAGGACAAATCACATTTCAGAACAGAAGGAGGATGCAGGGGAGAGGAGAGGAAGGTAAATGTCTGTGAGTTAATGATATTAGAGGTGGGGAAGGTAGATGTCTGTGAACTAATGGTATTAGAGGTGATAATTGGGGAAGCTATCTTTGTAATGGGTAAGGTAGTTGGGGTCTTTGTTCAATC